ACGGGGCTCGGGGCAGCCCGCATGGAGCACGCGGGCTCAGGGCATTTCAGGAAGAGGCTGGGATGTTACTTCAAGGCAGAAAGTCGCCTACAGCTCCTTCCTTGCACCGACAAACAGTGGCTTTGCTCTCCCCCTGCTCAGCGTCCCACTCTTGCAACTGGGCACTGCACGGGGCGAGCAGTAAGCGCGGGGCACGTGGGAGCTGCTGGAAAAGCCATTCTTCAAGGGAGAAGGGTGAGGATGTGAATTCGCAGAGCTCCCAGGAGTGCTGCTACCTGCGTCGGGCTGCTCTGCTTGGGCGGCTGCTCCTTTCCCAGGGTGCTCTTCCTTGCTGCGGTCGCCCTGGGAACTGCTGCCAGGAAGGGGATGCCAGGACTGGCCTGGCTCGCAGCACTGCAAACCTGCCCTGGGGGTACTTGCCGGGGAAACCTTCCCACCTCTCAGTACCTTGAAGGGAGCGGAGGAAAGGGGATGAGGAGATGAGGATTGAGGGTGGCCTTACGTGACCTTGACTGACCTTTGCTTGAACGCGGCACGCCGTGGAGTCCAAGAGCATTGCTAAGGGCAGGTTATGTCTGACTCCCGCCAGAGCAAGAGGAGGAGACCCGAGACGTCAGGTTCCCATTGATGTTTGAGCCCGTGCGATGAGGAGAGAGTCGGCAGGAGCAGGGACCTCCTTGGCTCTTTTCTGAAGTCACCGGACTACAACAAAAAACCACACATAGAATTTCACAGTTCCTGGGATGGCTGGTCTTCTGTTTGGGGTTGGAAGGGACAGAGACATGCACAGAGACATGAAGAAGCAAAAAAACCCAGCTTTATTTTGCTGGAAAGTAAACCTGAAGAAGTTTCATGAACAGACACTTTTGATTAATACAAATCATTCTTTAAGGTAATAACCTTTTTCATGGCTAGAAAGTTAGTAATAGTCATGTGCAGCTCTTTATTGTTTTAAACGTGCATGAATGAGCTTTTGGATGATGATGGTTTTACTTTTGGTGCGGGTAACTGTAGCATTCTGAAGGCTGACTAACAGGGATGCCTAAAACAGTTCAGGTGGGAAAGGGACTCCAGTAGGTCCTTTCAGGAGGCTACCTGAGCCCTGCTCAAAGCAGGTCTAACCTTGATGCTGGCCTGCAGAGAGCCTCTGTCCTAAAAAGTGTGTTACAATGGACAAGGAAGAACTGGCATGCAATAATATAAGAAAATCAATGGTCCGAACACCCCAAAGGAGCCTGGCTAGGCTGGTAGTTGCTGTATAGTTATGCTGCCCTATTAACTTGTGCAAGAAGTGTTGGCTGGAAGGGACCTCTCTGCATCACTTCATCCAACAGCCTACTCAAAGCAGGACCATGGCTGGCACGATGTCAAGCTGGCTGTGGCTTCTTCTAGGCAAGGCTTGGGAATTCTAGGCAAGGAGGGTCCCCTGCCACCGAGGTGATGGTTCCCGTGTTGTGTTGCACTGCAGATAAGAACATTTTCCCCACTGTCCAGTCTGAACTCCACCATCCACAGCCAGTGGCCATCGCCCCTAACATCACCTACTTGTGCTAAGAAGAGCTGGGCTTTCTCATCTTCTTAACTCAAATTCCTGTATGACTGTGGTAGGAGAACAGTGGTATGTAGCTGTCGGCATTGGCAAGCCTCCACACTAACTCCAGAGCACAGGTCTGCAGTGGTGGCCAACCCTCCTTGTCAAGACAAAGGCGAGGAGATGTTTTGCCAGGCTGGAGCCTACAGCTGAGGGGACAGCAAATCTGTGACAAAGCCTTCCCAGGAAAAGGTGGAACATAAATATAGCCTTGTATGCCCCTTATCGGGTTCTATTTTTCTCTGAAGTATTTTATTAACAAAGATGTCCCCACTTTTCATCCTTCGCCACCAGTAAGAGCCTTTGGAGAAAGAAAACAGGTGAACAGTTATGTGTAGCGCTGCAGAACGGCAGCATGCAGGAGGGATCCGGCATCCCTCCTCTGCA